TTGGTGGCTCCTTCTCTTTTTCTATATTGCTTATGCCATTCCACCACGCGCAATAAACCAACCGCCATACAGCTCTTTGGAAATGGCATCACAAGAACAAGCTTTCTACAGACTTCAAAGGTATAAACTGAGAATAATTTAGCTTTACGAGTAGATCTAAGGATCCACGAAGGCTGAGACAAGACAGCATTGTTGGATGGTGAGCACCCCAAAATAGTGTGGCCAGAAATGGAGCTGGTTAAGTATCTTGCTGCCAATGATATCAGATTAAGCAAAGCTTTCAGGGACCGGTACTAGCTGCATGAATGACCTCATCAGCTGCGGCTTGGGTGGTTTGGCAACGATGGAGCGTGTATAAGGTATGGCAGGAGATGACAGAAAATACAGCAGAGACACTTTCTGTGAAAAGGGACGGAGTGTGGATGCACTTATTTGGTCAAATTAAGGCAAAAGTAATGCATTTGAAGACATTAAGCACATGAAATACATTAAATAGAATAGTTTCAGTAGAGTAGTGGTCAGACTTGTATAGTCCTTAAATAACAAAGCAATCTATTAGCTGTCCAGCTGTTGGCTAAAACATGCAAGCAACCTTTGACACAACTTCCAAATCGATTTCTGTATTTATTTACAGAAATATAGAAAGTGTGAGAATAGCAAACCTTATTTTTGTGTGCTGTCTGGACTATTTTTGAAGGTTAAAAAACAATGAGTAAAAACAAGAAGGACATTTTCACTCAAATATATCAGGAAATGAAACTAAGACGGGACTTTATTATTGTCCCCTGGACAAAGTCTGATACTGTGAATGCATGATGTATTCCTGAATAGATTAGGATGTGGTCAGTAAACTAACCTAAAATTAAAGTTTCATCTTCAAAATGGAAACTATGCAGTTTCATTAGTGATTTAAAGGCAAAACTCCCCAAAACTATAAAAAAAGAAAAGAAGACGCACCTATTATGCGGTGCTGACAGCAGTGGTGATTTTTAACTTTGCAAAACTGCAGCAACATTTAGAGAAGGTCCAAAGTACGGCAGTAAAAATCAACAAATTTATGTATGTCTGCAAGTGCAACTCTCCTGCATATATACATGCTACTGCAAAGAAAACTTAACATAAAGTGTCCCGTCGACATCTCTGATTTGTCAGCAAGATTTGACAACAATTAACTGCACTTGCAAAGTCAACAATGTCTTAGGCAATTAGCCCATCACCCTCCTCCCCCTGAGGACTGAGGCATGAATTCTGCATGTCACCCTCTTCACATAATGAAGAGACAGCGGGTGTCATGTCTGGACTTGGCAATCTGCTACTGGCATGAGAGTTAGAGTATTAAATGGACTAACTGCCGGCTTTACCGCAGAGGAACACCGGTGTCTGAGCCCAGTGATTACCATGGCCCCAAACAAAAATGACATTTGTCTGACAATAAAATTGGATACTAACCTGTCTGAAAGCTGTCTCCATTTGCCTAGAACAAATGTTGGCGTTGGAAAACAGTTTGACACACTTTTCCCCTTGAATGCATAGAGAAGGCGAAGCCATCCTTTGGCTCACGGTAATGGCCCTTCATTGTTGGCCACAGAGGATGTGGCGCTATTCATACCGGTGGATGATTGAAAAGAAAATTGAATCTCTTTTGATGTGATAAATGTGTCTATTACTGCATTTGCACACAAAATGTCGGTGGAAATTATAGTGGGGAGGCAGGGCTCAGAGGGGAAAATACATAGTGATGGCATATTGGCTAGCTTTGATTGGAGCTGAAATATAAATATACTGTACCGGTAGTGAAATGAGTCCAAGCTCCCTGATTTTTCCACAGGATCTTCACAAATGAAAGGCCTTGAGAGCCCCAATTGTAAGACTATATAAAAAGGTTAAATATCTGCACAACGCTCTCTCTCTCTTTCTCTCCAAAGAGCTGTTTGATAAAGGAAACCAACAACTGTTTGCGTTGTAATAAAAGAGAATTTTCTCTGACCTGAAGAAGCCCAGGGAAGAAAGGAGACGATACATTTAGTGTTGCGTGAAGTCTTGTGCTGCGCTTGACAATTCATTTGAAAATATTAAGATGGCTGGCGAAGTGCTCTGATGCACACATGTACTGATATGTGCTCTTGGTGGAAGAAACAAACAAACACACCTTTTTTTCTAATATTGGTGACATCTGAAATGCAGATATAGTAATATAATGATTAGCCTTGTCTCATGCTTTCTTGCTTTGTGGTAGATCTTGGTTCTGTCTTCATTGAGATATTTGAATGCTAATCAATAAAATCAAATCAAATCAAATGATATTTACATGTTTCATTTGTTTTATTCATCTACATTTTATTTTCAGTAGACAGTGTGTAGTATTACTAAATACAGTGCAATCTCATGCACATGTTGTGGTATGTTTGGGAAAATTGTAACAAAGGAAAACAGAAAAAACAGAGTAAACATTATTTCAACAAGAAAAAAAATCCCTGTACTTTGCAAGATATTATTAATGCTAACTGCCAGCGTTACTGCAGAGGGACAACCAAAACTTGTGTTCCGGCTGTAGTACAAAAATATTACATATACAAGATATTTGCATGCTTTTTTAACTTTATAATATTTTACCACATTCAACAAAAACACAATTTATACATTTATAAAGCATTTGTTGCCTATTTGCAATCCAGTATGTTAAAAGTGTTTACTCTTTACACTATTATGATTTTCCCTATTAAGTTCATCTTAAAATCAACTTCTCTTGAACACTTAAATAAGATTTTTTTTCCCCTATCACAATAAGTCATTTTGATCAATGTTAATGTTTTGGTATATATAAAAATCAAAACATATTCTCCACACTGTAAAAGCATGCCAGTGATTACCATGTGTAGGACACACATAAAGCATGGGTCCAGGTTTGTGTAAAATTTTTACAAATGTGTACCAAGTTTTCTCGGTTATGCATTTTTTCTGCTAATTCTTTATATTACTTTGATGCAACATAACAATCACTTCCTTCTCCTGTAATTACAGGTCTTAACGTTAATAAGATGTTTGGTATTCATCACATTTGTCATCTTCAGGCATTTCTGAGATTCAGTTAACATACCATACACTTCAGTTTATCAGTTTTTTTTATTCAAATTTGTGAAGATCATGCAAAACCTTTAAAAATGCTACTGATCGAAACATTGTAAAAAATAAATAAAAAAACAATAACATGGAGAAGTTTCAAGAACAAATCCCTCTCATTGTACAGATCCTTTCAGTTGGGATATACTAGAGACACATAAATACCAGTCAACAAAGTTCTTAAGGAAGATGAAACATCTAAGATAGGAACTTGAAAAGAAGCTGAGGCCAGCATACCATTGTTATTCAGTTATATTCCATTTTTTAAAATCCAAAATGAAGATAATAGTGATTGTGTCTGAGAAGATGCCCCCACAATAACGGCATGGATTGAGCTAATATTCGCAGCATTCATGCTTTCCTCAGCTGTACTTTGTATGTAAAGTTAATTAGCAAATGTAGCCATGTTAGCCTAGCCAAGATGGGAAATATAGCAAGCATACACCTTCTTAGCATTAGCAATTTAGCATATCATTCTTATCATTTAACTTAAAGCACTCATTATTTTTCATATATAACTACATAATATTCTGAAATTAGCAGTTATGAATAATCTGATCAGCAAGAAAAGCTGTCCCTTTCATTTGCATGATCAGCTCTTTGTAATCCTTGTTTTTGTATTGTTGTTAATTCTAAATGCTGCTAACAGGGAGTTTTTTGTGTACCTTTTTTGTTTGTTTTCACAAAATGAATCTAATGTAAATAAAAGTCAAAAGGCTGACAAATTATTGGTTATGTTTTTTTTTCACAGTTTTAGTGACAGTCGGTTTTACTGTTCACCTTCTGCTTATTTCCAGATTTTAAAAAGTAGTCTGTGGTTCTATTGCTTTAATCACTTAAGTGAAACTGTTTATGATGCCAAGATGTCAAAAGATTTCAACTCCCCGATTCTTTTTTGAATCTTTCATAAATAATTAGTTTTCAAAGCTTAATGGCGAGGAACAGCAAGATAATGAAGCTAGACACATAGTCAAAGAAACTTTTCTACAAAATGTCATAATTGTATCTGTATGGGTTATTACTCACGTCACCTTTTTTGTGACGTAAAAAAAAAAGCATATTTGTACTGCGTTTGAGAGGTACAGCCAGTAAAAGAAACACCGGCTCTACTACTCCGTTCTACAGCCTGAGCCTTACATTTTTAATCAAGTCACTCATCTCTCTTTCAATACATAACATCTTTGATGATGAGATGCGCTTTGATGGCAAGCGAATTTCATTTGTGTCTAAAAGCTCCAAAGTATTCGGTTCAAGATGATCGCCACATTTGTGACTTCTAGGCGATTACTGTAATGATGCTAAATGGTAAACATTGGCCCAACATCTAAATAATTTAACAGACTGAAAACACGCTGCTCCAATGTTTATTAAATTCATTTTGTGTTTACAGAGTGATCATACTGAAATGTTCCATGGCATTGAGCTAGCATGAGAGGTCACGTTTGAATGGACTAATTGTATGAAATTTAACATAGCTTGTCTAGATTACATGATTACCTCAGTCAGACAATAGAGCCAACCCTTTTAAAGTCTTTGCTGGTGCACATGAACTAAAAGTACTACATCTGCAAAGTATTGCAAAATAATTGTGCATAAGGCCAGGGGACATTTTGCAACCATGTTTACTGTGTGTTCAATTTTAATGTTAAAACAGGTTGGTTATCAAAAGTTGTGCTTAAACTGGCTGCAAGCAGAGCTAAATTTGGCATATGCTGGGCTTAATTTGGACAGAAACGTCACAAATAAAAAATGTTTTAAAAGTTTTCTTACAGTAAATCTTATTCAAGCATTATTTGATCAATCTGAATTTGATATTTAAAAACGTGCCTTTGGTTTATTGACGTGTGTTTAACAAATGCATACTGCAGAGCAGGAGCTACCTGTGGTTAATATGTAAACTACAGCAGAAGGGATGAAGATGCCCACGGGAACATTGGACCCTGATAAAGTGCTGAATAACTGGACACGTAAGTAGACAGCTTCAGTGACTGGCAAATACCAGTGACTGCTCTTGACTCAATAGTTTTACATCATAATCATCAAGAAATTTGCGTGGACATCAATTTCTTTTTCTTTTTACTTTCTTTTGCTTTTTCATCCTTTTTTTCTTTTTCTTTTTGATGGTTTAGATTTAACTTTGACTCTGCTAACACTCTCTAACACTGTCTAAAACTGGCCCAAGTCTAGACACAAACTCATATTTACTACTTTAATCTTTATCGGTTTTCAAAGTATAAACAGTTTGCATTCGTGAAAATGGACAGTGGACTTGTTGGTGCTGGAAAACAGCTTCTCCATGTGGACATCTATATTGATGAACACCAACCTTCTAGAGGAATCCTGGCTCTTTTGAGCAGACTTCGTCCCAACTGGAAGGCACAAGACATTCAAATGAAGGCAAGTGAATGCTTGTATCTCTAAATGTATGGATTACCAAAGACTGACTATTATTTGTAAGAAAGCATGAAATTCACACATTTTCATTTGTATTTCTAATCTTACTCTCATGAACTTTCAAATGTAACATGCTGACTGTGGCTTGCAGCATCTGAGATGTAGCTTTTGTTTTTTGTAAAGTTTCAGGGCGTTGCATGGTCTGACCTTGGGATGAATTGACTGGGAAATCCACTCTTGGGAAGATTGTGGCATTGCATTAACATACAGTGGAACCCCGACTTACGAAATTAATTCGTTCCCGAGGGTCTTTCGTAAGTCGAAAATTTTCGTAAGTCGAAACACCCATCGCACGTTTTGACTGAGGCGATGCTGAACGATAGGCTATAGGCTAATTGCTAACTAGAACAACAATACGTCGTTCAAGCGGAACAGCGAAGCCCAAGTACGGAAGCCAAGGGGTTGTTACATGATTCGGAAGGCATTGTGGGCATTGTAGGCTCAGCCAATCAGAGCCAGCGGATTCCATTACTCTGGCATTTTGCCGTAACACGGGCAAAAATATTGCCGTTCAGTGCCTTCGTAACTTGAATTTTTCGTGAAATGGGGTATTCGTAAGTCGGGGTTCCACTGTACTTCTAAATACACCAGACCAGCAAAATGAAAACATATCTGCTTTTATAGTAGTTTAATAGCCCTGGGAAAGCTTTTGAATTTCACATGACTGTTTAACCTGTATTCACGTGTTAAAGTGAAAGCATAAACTATGATTTATATCTAAATTTATTGCCTGTATATGGCAAAACTTGACACATCTTATAAGAATAGGGAGCAAGTGGAAGAGAACCTGGAGCAGTGCTGGTATGAAAGTGAGTAGACGCAAGACAGAATACATGTGTGTGAATAAGATGGAGTCAAGTGGGAAGGTGAAGCTGCAAGGAGCACGGATATTGAAGGTAGATGAGTTTAAATATTTGGGGTCAATCCCCCCCAAAGCAACAGACAGTGAGGTAGAGAAGAGAGTAAAGGCAAGAGGGGGTGGGTGGAGACAAGTGTCAGGGTTTTTTTGTGAGAGAAGGATAGCAGCAAGAGTGAAAAGGTAGATTTACAAGACAGTAGTGAGGCCTTCTCTGATGTATGACAGAAAGACAGGAGGCAGAGGTGGAGGTGGTAGAATTGAAGATCCAAAGATTTTCATCCCATTTGGGAGTGACCTGATTGGACAGGATTAGAAAATACACAGCCCAAAGACATACATGTTGGGTTAATTGGAGATTCTAAATTGGCCACCGGTGTTAATATCAGTGTCTGTCTCTTTGTCTTAACTGTTTGATGAAATGGCATGTACCCTGTCCTTCACCCTACAACAGCTGAGATCGACTTCTGAAACCCCATGGCCCAAAACTGAACAGGTTAAGAAAATGGATGGATGAATGAAAAAAAATAAAGACTGCTGTATAAATGCAGTATCAAAATTAAATTCACACATAGTGATAAAGTTTTGTCGTGTTTTGGTTGGGCTCCATATTCCACTGTACTGTAAACTGTAGAAAGACACATTTCACACATCAAAATGGAAAAAAAAAAACCCAAGGTAACTAGACAACAAAAGTAGACTGTTAGGAAATTTCTTTTTGTAGGGCTGTCAGAGGGTCTATTCACAACAGGATAATCCCATTCTGGTCCCATGTGCAAACACAAGGTCCAATATTTCAGAGAAATAGGGTTTATGTTTGTTAGGTGACCCAACATTGGATGGATGACCTCTCAATCCTCACCAGGTCCAGTAATGTACACAAGAGTAGATGTTTCTCTTCAGCTCTCGCACTGCAGCGGCTCCTTTAATGGTGTATTGTGTTCAGCAAGGAATGGATAGACAACTTCTGCTGTTACATTGAGCTTTAACCCAGTTTACATAGCATTCCTTTCAAATGACTGTCATTGTTTTGGGTTTCATTGATGATTCCGTGATTCTGTGATTTCATCATTTCTATTTTATAACAAACTAACAGAACAAGATAAAGGCTGATAAATACACATTGAATGATTTACATAAGATTTTTTGTAGACAGTGTGATTAAAATCTGTTTCAAAGATGGAACAAGAGAACATTTGTAGAATTTTAAAGGCATCCCTTTAAAATTCTACAAATGTTCCAACAAACAAACATGTTAAAGCAAACGCAAATTTCATGTCAAAAAGAAGTGCAGATCAAAGCATGCATATTTATCTTGTGTGTTTTTAATACATTTTGGGGGATTTCAAATGACAATTAATAAATTGTGAAAATTCAGCACAAAAAGAAACTGTAAGATACAGAGGCAGAAAGAATTTAATGAAACCAGCCCTGCATCCATATAAATACTGGGTCAGATGTCAAGGTGGGCATGTTTGTTCATTTTCCATTTAGATGAAAAAATGTGTGTGCAGGTCCCATCTGATGCTCAGAAAGTGCCTTGGGGACTTTAGCAGAAATTGAGAGACTGAGAAACCACAGAATGACAACAAATGTCAGAAAAAGTCGTTGCAGACAGTGGTCTCTGCGGTGTTGTTGTGTACACATACTGAGGAATAGAATCTATTCCAGAAGTGGGATTTTCAATGTCACCATACTTTCTACAGCTGTGTCTGTAACTATGTATTCATCTACCTGTTGTTGCATTGACTCTACACAACAAAGATGTATGCATACCAGTTTAATTTCAAACTGATTTCATATTTGTTTTTCCCATAAAGTACATTAAAAGGAGTGCCAAATCTTTCCATATCAAATGTTTGTTTGTTTTTTTACATTGGATAAAATGGTAACCAGTATTCCACATTAATATGGGTGTATTTTTCAGGATGTATAAAGGCGATCAACCAAATCTTGAACTTTAATATATGCTATAAACAGAAACTGGAAAATACACAACACACAATAATGCAAAAACATAAAAACAGACAGGCAGCATATGAAGAACAGACACAAGGCTCATATCTAAATTAAAACCATAGCTGATGCTACAACAAAGACTGAGGGGAAGAAATGATTAGTTATACACATTAGGATTAGGAAATGGGGAACAGGATTGGTAACAAGACACAGGTGCGATCAATCACACACAAGTGAAGCTTGTCAATAAAATCAGGGGGGAAACAGGAAGCAAAACTAACCTAGGACACAAAAGAAATCAAACCTTCAAAGTAAAGACAGAAAGTAAAGTACAGCAAAATCACAAATCAGAACACAACACAGAAACTTTGTACTGGGAAAATCCAAGCACACTTTAGAATCACCATTTCACCTAACCCCACTAACTTCAAGTCTTTGGACTGTGGGAGGAAGCTTGAATGAACCCAGACAAACTCGGGGAGGATTTCCAAACTCCAGATCTCAAGGTACTGAGTTCAAATCCACCATCTGGCCAGATGAACTCAGGACCTTATTGCTGTGAGGCAATAGGGATAACCACCATACCACAGTGCTGGCCATTTCTGGTATCATGTAGAATAGAAATCAAAGTCTCATTAAGACTCAGTATATAATAATAATAATAATAATAATAATAATTCAAAACTCAACCTATTAGATAACAATCAAAACTCTTGGGAAAACAACTCAAACATTTAAAAAAACTCACACGAATTTAAAAAAAAAACCAGGACCATGACAATATCTGTAATACAGTAAATATATACATTTCTCAAATTTCTGTTAAATTACACGTGCTTCAAACAACATACAGTACATGTGCCATGTTCACTGTATAGACAAAATAGCAAAGACCAACCAATAAACCTGTAGTTGATCAGCAAGATTTTATGAATCTTTATGATATTTTCTAAGATACTCTTCTACTCAAAGATAAGAGCAAGCTGAAACAAAAAACTAAACAGAAACTGAAAACTTTGACACAGCGTCCTTTTACAGTAGATGCTCATGATACAGATTAATTCAGAACCCAGCATGAATTATATTTCAAATAAGCATCTGAAAAATGACCCATAAAAGACTTCTGCAAAATTATTCTTTGACTTATATGTCTCATCTAGCTGCTACCTGTTGGTTGTCTAAACTTGTATTCTATGATAAAATTATTTTAACAAAAAGCTGTTACTTAAGTAACCTATTTGAAAATGCAAGTATTCATGTGGCAACACGCTAACGTCGCAGGGGATGTCCACATGCATTCTAAATTTTGTATTACACAGGTATTTTCTCTAGTTTCTTTTTGAGTGTACTGATGTGAATTTGCTCTGTTTCTGTGGTTTTATTTTTCCTTTTTCTCCAATAATGTGCATTTAATGGAAGGTTAGTGACATTTTTAAATGAGCTATAACAGTGGTAAATTAGTGGCCTGTAAATCGATATGGTACTGAAAATGTAATCCAGAATCCTGAAACCAAACTGGGGTCTGCGAGTTGCCTGCTATTTACCTGCCTGCTGTAATTAATGTAGAATAGCATGATTTTCCAAGATTGTTATAAATGTTTTAAGGAAAGTAACCAATTAAAGTTATAGTTACAGAATAATTATATGACTGCCTGCTTTATTGACAGATGGTAGTGAAATGTTATTATCTTTTTTTTACAGTAGGATTTTTTGTGTGGGTAGAATTATGATAACCAGCATCCTGGGTTTTATGGGCTCTTTTGACAATACAGAATGCTAAAATATGGTATAGCAAAATGTTTCATTTGCTGTATACTATCTGTCCAAAACTGCATTTTTCATGCTCATGGCCCTTTGGATTTCCTTTCATTCCAGACATTCACAGAAGGCATCACCAACCAGCTTATTGGCTGCTACGTGGGCTCTCTCCTGGAGCCTGGTTGTGTCTTGGTGCGACTATATGGCAAAATGACAGAGCTCTACGTGAACAGGGACCATGAGGTGGAGATGTTTCAGATCCTCCACGCACACAGATGTGGTCCTGAAATTTACTGCAGCTTCCAGAATGGCATCTGCTACGAGTTTGTAAGAGGAACTGTGCTGGATGATAAACTGCTTCGGCAGCCGTCTATCTACAGGTCTCTGCAATAACAGCGTTCACATTTCACACATACACACACACACACACACACACGCACGCACGCACGCACGCACGCACGCACGCACGCACGCACGCACACACGCACACACGCACACACATAGATCGATAGATAAACATCATCTAATTAAATTTATATAATTGTGAGAATTTCTTTGCTATTTTAATGTATGTGAATACATTAAAATAGCAAAAATTAGCAAAATTATTTCACAGCTTTACAATCTGTATATTCAAGTTGACAATAAACTTGCCCTAATTTAAGAAACATGAAAGAAAATAATGACAATTCTGATTATTGTCTGGTATGCAAAGTTCATATCCTGAGTATAACTACTGTGTAAGTTTGTAATTATTTAATATCAAAGCATAAGGTGAGATGCTATGGGCAGGAGATTTATTTGTTTATTTATTAGTTTATATGAATAGAAGATTTTTGGCTTTTTTTGCCTCAACATGTTCTTTTCAAATCTTTTTCTCAAAATTGCACAAAAAGGTTTTCAAAATTATCCACTGTAAATAATCAATATTGATATTTGTTATCCCTTTAAAGCTAAGTGTATCAAATATGATACTTTGCATACTAGATTTTGAGACAATAAATATTTAAAAAAATGGCAGATGTGGCATATATGACAGAAATCCAAACTAAAATCTGCAAATAATATATATTTTTTAATTATTATATTGTTAGAAGGTTCAATAAACACGCCAAAAAATAAAATTTAAAAAACCGCAGTCTGAACTTCAGCAGCACTTACATCCACAAAACTTCACTGTTAATAATCTGGAGCCTGATTTGTATAACATTTAGCACAAGTGGAGTCTATCATCAGTGAATGCTACGTCCAGATGAACAGAATCAACTTTTTTTTGATTTACTTACCTGGATGATTAAACATGCATCAAGACAACATTTAGAACAAAAAACAAAAAGAAAACAAAAACACATTTCTGGGCAGGACTTGTAGAGTGATAAATAGAGATATCCAAAATCTCCTGAATTAAATGTAGTATGCACATTTTTTTTTACATTATTTTATGCAACTTTCTTTCTGAAAAAGTGAATATTTATTGATAGGACATCATTTGCACATCATATCATAAATTTCAGAAAACTTGTAACTCAATTTCTTTTTTATTTTTAATTGAAATTCATTTGAAGTCATCATTGTACATCATCATCATTTTCAGAGTTCAGGTGTGTACATGCAAACCAAACAGTTCATTTAATTTGTGCCAATGTGGGAGTTTCTTATTAGTAATTTGAGTCATGTTTCATGTTGAGCAATGATGTTTGTTCATGCCCCCATTACATTCATCATTCCCATGATAACAACCTGTCATCATTATTCACAACTCGGGACAGTAGAACTCAACATATCCAGCCAAGGTTTCACATCCAGGTCCACAATAGACATCAATCAACTTGCTCTGCCTGATACCCTGTGTGGGGGATACCCAGAAAACTTTATGTCACCATTAAGATGCCTTGAGAATGAGCGCTCAAATGGTCAAAAGGTCATAACCACAACAAGGTCCATTTTTTGAAAAGAAGAACAAGATAAGAGCACTAAATGTAGAGGGAGTTGTGTTTCTGCTCTGATAATGATTGTTTGTGCAATAACAGCGTCAGCCAGGCTCATCTGAGAAAATGTTTTCTCTCTGCAGATTGATCGCCGCAGAGATGGGGAAAATCCATTCGATCCAGCCAAAATCCGGTCGGCCAGTCAAACCTGTGCTGTGGACAAAAATGTCTCATTTCCTCAAACTAGTGCAGAGCAGTGTCAGCAGCAGTCCAGCTGGGCAGTGGTACATAGGCAGGTACAAGTCATGATAGCCACAGAGCACAATACAATATATAATGCATAATATTTACAATACATCCACTTGTGATTGACCCATTAAGCAGCTGCACTGGACAAAGACAGGAAGATTTACACTATGCAATAACATATGGGCGGTAGCTTTGCTAGAAAAAACATTAACTACACTTTTTGTTTTGCCAAAGAAATATGCTTGGAGAACTGCTTGGCTGTTGATCACCTGGTGGGGTCATTCAAAGTATTGGTGTGTTGCTAGATCAGATCTCACAGATAAGCTCAAGCAGTCCTTTGGCATCAGGTGACAGCAGGTATCATTCCCGTATGGACATTATTAATATATCCTAGTAATAATCGATTAACCGGCACATTATTATGAGACACTCTCTCACTCACTGACATGGGGAGCTACACATTAATATTACCTATCATGCAGCAGCTGCACAACACATCAAAGGTAAACACGTAAAACACGTACTGTAACAGCAGCAGTCATTTTCAGTGCCAGCAGCACCTCTGAACAGGAACAGATGCACACAACTACTCGAGGTCACCAAAATGTCATTAACAGTTATTAGTTAGGCTAAGAAATGCAGCATGGCATGATGTGTCCAGCACTAAATGGACCGTTAATATGCAATTCTATATTTCCTGTAAAAAATCAAGAGAGGTGTAAATCAGAGATGACTTTAATTAGTTGCTTATGTGACATCCACTATTACAACAATATCTTACGGTGATTAATCTACTGCTGTAATCATAATAATAAACTGTATAAAGTACAAGGGCTGAGAGCTTGACAGCTGTAACAACAGTAACTATGGGGGTGGGGCTTAGTGATTAGTCAGTCATCCTGTCAGGAAGGTTTCAGACTAATGTGTGTGTGTGTGTGTGTGTGTGTGAGAGAGAGAGAGAGAGAGAGAGAGAGAGATGGAGAGAGAGAGAGAGAGAGGCTGTCAATTATCTACTATACTGAAAATACAATGTTTAAAAAACAAAATACCTGATGACTTTGAGACAGGAGGGCACCCCGATGTTTAATTGTGCTGTCCTCTTTGATAGAAACCAGCTTCATTTTCAACTGTTTTATCTTTTAGGCAGCAGCTCTTTCACTGATGTCTTATCATTTTCTCACATTGCTCAAACCAGCCTAAAATGCTCTTGTCCATCCAAATCTTGCCTGGCTTAACGGGCAACAGGCATTTACCCCTCCTTACATGTATGGAAGCCATCACTGTGAGCTGTCATTGGTCAGAGAGATGAGGCGGGGGAGTGGCCTCATTGACACTGAGAGCTCTCATGGGTGAAGGGGTGAGAGGTAAGCGGGGTTACATGGAAAGACACTACAGAGAAACAGGCTCTTGGCTCTCCCTTATCGGTCAAACGCTGAACCTTATTTGTGTTTGCAGCAAAGGGGTCGGAAGTCCATGCAAACAGAAGCTGGAAGGCCCCAAGGTTTCTAGTCACTTTTCTTTTAGCGTGCAAGCCAGGTAGGAACTGAATGAGTCATCCATAAAGTAGAGGCTTGGAAGCAGAGGGCCTTTTATGATAAGAGGTACTTTTAACATCTAGGATTCACAAAAACAAAGGTCTCGTAGAAATATAAGAGAAAATCTCCGAAATTAAAAAACTTAATTTGGGGGTCTGGGGGTTTTTTTGCTAGCTAGCTAGCTAGCTAATATGACAATCTAAATTGTGATAAACTACCTCAGACAAGCTGAAATGTATTTATTTATTTTATAACACACTGCACAGATAACAAAAATGTGTTAACACAAGACACCAAATTATGCATGGATGGGTGCTACTGAAAATTAAGGCCACAGAGGAGTAATAACCTACTATTTAAGTCCCGCAGCTCCACACAGCAAAACAAGTTCACTTTTGCTAAAGTTGCATGCATATCCTGCTAAACTTCAGTTTTAAAGAGAACACTGAGGACATTGTGAGCGCTTCCATTTTACCCACTAAAAGCAGTGAATGCATGTCTGAATGTGGATCACTCTGCAATATACAATAGGAGACTGCACCACATTTCAAGGCCCAATAGATGGTGCTATATTGTGAAACATTTTTGAGACTTGACAGCCCTGTGCAGCTCGCGCTCAAGTAGATACAGAGCAATTTAAAATAACCTGGAAATGATCAGTGTTTAGGAAATGTATCATAACAACGTGGGAAAGCTATGAGAAAATAATGGAAGAAACACTACAAATGACTCTGAGGTGTCAACACTAGAAATTAGAAATTGGGTTATTTTAATCTTACCTAATGTCTTCTCTCTCTCTCTCTCTCTCTCTCTCTCTCTCTCTCTCTCTCTCTGTGTGTGTGTGTGTGTGTGTGTGTGTGTGTGTGTGTGTGTGTGTGTGTGTGTTTGCACGTTAACTGGTCTCTTGAGTGTGAAAACTGCGTGCAAAACATGGCACAGAGACAGAAGAAGAAAAGACCAAAAAAACAGGTTTTAAACAAGCATCAGAGAAACTTTTGTACTTGAGACTGTATGAGTGCTGATATGAATGTGATATTCAGAGGAAATGGCAAAAGAAAGGCAGAGAAAGAGAGAGAGCAGGAAGAGGCTGCACCTGCAGAGGAGGTCTTCAGCTCTCAAGCCACCCGCTGTGCAGAGGGAGAGAGAGGGGGAGAGAGACAGATCGACAGAAGGAGAAGCGAAAGAGACGAGGGAAGGGGGAGCGCAAAAGAGGCTGCAGCAGCTGCAAGGTTCAGAGAGAGGGAGCACAGTAGAAGTCAGAGCTGGGAGAGAAAAGAAAGAAAGGCAATGGAAAGCAAGAGTGCAACCTCTTTTTCTTCCAAAGCCCCCCTGCTATGTCTCCCGTTTGCACTCTTACAAATTGCATAAAACTGCAAAAAAGAGAACGAGTGGTGGAGAAAAAAGACGAAAAAGAAAAAAAAATCTGCAGTGCTCGGCTGGTGTTTGAAATCATATGTAAATAAGGCACATTGATAATGAAGCGCCAGAGGAGGAAATTCCACTAATTACCTTACAGAGACTTGACAGGGAGCAGGAGGCGAATGTACTTGACGCACTGTTTTTCATGAAAAGGACAGAAAAGAGAGAGGAAAAGATCTGATGGCAAGACGACAGGTTTCCATTTAAAGTCAATGTAAGTCTTTCATTTAGCTTTTGATTCCAAGTAATCGTGGGTTCCTATGTGAACGTCGAGTTGTTAGGTTAAAGGAATGGGTTGGTTGAAAAGGAATCAGGGTGATTCACCATTCAACTGCATGTTTTATTTCATATTAGAGAAGAGATAGATAAATTATGCATGTCAGAGGGGGTCGATTTTAAATAAAGCTGTCACCGGCAAGTAGCGGTGAATCGAGCGCTCTATTCTGGGCCTGTATTTTTTTTTAAAAAGGCAGTTTGGTGTTAAAATGTAAATCATTTGTGCACTGATGCTTGAAAATAAAGTAAAATAAATCTTAGTTATTTTATCAAAGATCTTGTAAGCAGGAAGTTGGTATTTTAAAATACCAACTTCCTGCTTACCTCTTTTTATTCAATCCATGTATTTATCTCAGAGGGAAGCAAGACTGACTGAACAGAGCAGAGAAGATAACATACAAAGTGACTTGTTGTGTAGTGGAGGACATGCAGACAGCAGAGCCTCTGTGCCACGGCTATAAACACTATAAACAAGGCTCATCCTCCTCTGCTTTTATTGTGCGTTCCTTGCAGGCCTCACTAAATTATGTCTCCAAGTGTGTATAATACCGGAGCATCTGTTTGTTCCCTTTTCGAATAAATAGGTAGTGTTTAAATTACACTGTTTAAAGTACCCTCTTGCCGTGGCAGTCGTGGGGACTGGAAAGGAAACACAAAAATTAATTAGGAGACGGATGCTTGCACAGCATTTCTTCCAGGTGCATTTTGCACTGACGTCCAAGGACATTAGTGCCGTCTTTGATAGATTGAATAATCAAGAGAGTGAAAACAAGGCATGTGACCTCTCAGCGAGGCTTGCTGAACCGTGTCAGTTTACAAACAAGTTCTACTTTCTTGTCTCAAACTCTCTTGCTCCTCTTACCAAGTGTACGGAAGACTCTTATACAAGTTTAGTTCAGATTTTCATTGGGAAAAAACAATCCCATAGACAACTTCCATCTATCCATTTTCTTCCACTATTTAAGTCAGGCCTGCAAGAGCCATCGTGGGGTGAGATGCAAGGTTGCACCCTGGACGCCAGTCTGTTGCAGTGCTAACACATAGAAACAGGCAACCATTCGCACTCATATTCACACCTATGGTCAATTTAGAATCACTACTTAACCTAGCTCGATGCATGCTTTCTTCATGTTTGATAAGGCAGATTTATTTTTATAAACCGGATGCCCTTCTTGATGCAACCCCAAGTTAATTTTGCGTCTCCTCCCAGTGTTAAACTGGGGCTTGTTTGCTTATCAAGAAATGGGTAAACCTAAAACTCTAGAGAACCATTGACTTAGCTCTAACAACAAATGAATAACAGTAGCACTTTATAAAGGCAGACAAAGCACTTAAAACATCTCATATAATAGCTAAGCATATCTTTTCTCTGATTTTCACTCGATTGCATTTTTTAAGAAGAAAGACTCCTCCCATGCTAGACTATCCCAGTGGCAGAGTGTACAAGGACATGTGCTAAAGTGAGTTGAATAAAAGTGTGTTATTGTCAGATCGTGAGCATTTTTACCCAATTAGACTTCAGATAAATTAGGAGGGTTGTACTTCTGGAAATCAATGTATTTTCAGCTTCAGTGATTAAAACTAAATGCCAAAGTTCTTTTTTACAGTCTTTGGTGTAAAACATCACACAGCATTTATGACTTCGGCTGTTCAACTTACTATGCTTCTTTACCTACCTGCCAGGTGCAGCTGCGAGTTAAAGACATCACTCATTCACGGGGAAAAAAGAGCCCTTTTCCATCACAAAAAATAAATAATTTCAACGTTTTACCTCTTGCAGTTCTGCAGATCTACAAAAGGTGCCCAGCTTTAAGACTTTGTCACAGGAAATGGAGTCACTGAAGAGACACCTCTCTGAGATTGACTCGCCAACTGTCCTCTGCCACAACGACCTCCTGACAAAGAACATCATCTACAACGAAAAAGAGGGTGAGGAAAATTCTTTGGTTTTTAGAAATTCATCAACCTGAAAGAAGTAACAAACAAAAGAAGGCCTAATGCTAAACTACCTTAATTCTAGCTGAAGAGTGGCAGTGCTTCTGAAGCTAATGCTAAAATAGATGAATGTGTGGCAATATTCACATTACTGAAAATGCATTGTCCCTTATTTAATATCTTACCTTATTTGAAGTTATTCTGTTATAAATTTTTTAAACATTTAAAAAAAATATCGCCCGGGGTAATGTTCAGCAAAAGAGACTCCCTGTTTGACACTCACAAGGTTCCTGTACTTTCCATAAAGACACAAAGGCTTATCAGTTGAACATCTATAGCTGAAATGTGTTTATCATGTTGTCTTAGTAACTGCTGTTGCTTTTTTCCCCCTACATCCATCAGGAATGGTGAAATTCATTGACTACGAGTACGCCGATTATAACTACCAGGCCTTCGATATCGGCAATCACTTCAACGAATTTGCCGGTGGGTCTTTCAAAATAGCATCAATTTACCTCCAAATCTTTTTCACAGCCAGGACATATAAGATTCCTTAATGTGGAATATATGACTGCAGTAAATATTGTAAACACAGGATGTGATATTTTCAACGTTGTGTTTTCTCTGACTACATCATGTTATGATATAATGTGCCGTGAAACGATCTCCTTCTTGTGACACTGCTCAGAAAAATTGCTGCATTCAGTATGTGTTCTGCACAGTGATTAAAGTGGCTTTAATGGACCAGCTGTGTTAGAGCAAAGCACAGCAAGGACTGTCCGAACAATCATCAATGCAGTCGTTTTAGATTATTCAGCTTTCAAGTTGTAACTTGCAAATTATCCACAATTCCCAATGACAGCAGCTGCAGTTATGTCTGATAGTCTTATGCAAGAAGGGGCTGACAGGAAGGGGCAGACATACTCCACACGAATCACATGCTGGAATGAAAGATACTGCACCTTTTATTCAAAGAAACAAATATTACAACTTTTTATTGTGTTCTTTTTTTTATCCTGATTATACCTCAAACAAAATTTGAAAATTAGCCGATGGCATGGTCTTGAATGATACAACTGTCTTGCAGACATTTGAACACAATTGTTGATGTAGGGAAGCTTTTATACGGGCAACATGAAAAACCAGTCTAGCTTAAATAAAGCGCTTCGCTATTATCTGTACAATATAACCCAGATGTTATACTATTGCTGATGTATGTAGAAGTCAACAGATGTGTCTAATTGCCAGGGTGCTTATTTACACTTCACAACATTTTATTACATTTTATATTTTTATATTTCACAAAATTTTATTTTTTAATTTAAAGTAGACTTGTCAAATAAATGCAGTGCAGGAAAAAGCACAATACTTTCTCTGAAATTTAGTGGATAACATGTTATCCACTAAATTTCAACATATTGTTGTCAGCATGTTGTCACCCAGTTTCCATGCTGCTTTCTTATAACTTGTCCATTTGGAGCAAACGTTTCTCACTGCCTGAGTGGGTCTGACAAGTGTTGACCAAAGAGCTGTTGCTCCACTCAAAGTAGATATAGTTCACTGGCACGTCTTCAAAACAAACAGTTATTTTAGGCATTGTGTTGGATTTTAGCACCGACGTTAGTTCCACTAATGTGCACGTATATGTGTCGCATTTCAGGTGTGAATGATGTTAACTACGACCTCTACCCGAGCTGGGAGCTGCAGAGGGACTGGCTGACGGCCTATCTGGAGAGTTACAAGCACAGCACTGGACGTGAGGTCACAGTCACGGAGGCAGAAGTTACGCAGCTCTACATTCAAGTCTGCAAATTCTCTCTTGTAAGTGTCTGCTCCCACTGACTTTGTTGAAATATATCATTATGTAGTGCCTCAGCTCTTTGGAAAGACTTTGGAAAGTGACAAATCTCTCAACAGTTATTTCCTTTTCTTAGGTTTTGCTCTTGGAGGGACTCGAATATCTCAATATTATGAGATTAGCGTATGCATTTCAACAACATCCATATGTGTGCAGAGCTGTGGAATGGCGGGGTGGCAACATCTCACCATCATATTTTAACAATTTACTTTTCCAACTCGCCCCCCAACCCAAAGAAAACCAAACCATCCACAGCTGACCCACCACTGTTCAAACTTTGATGGACTCCATCTGAGTTGATTAGAAACTACCGCAGGGAAAAATGAAACACAGCAGCCAAAATTATTTTTCTTATGACCACAATTTTCATTCTTTGGTGTCTCAAGTGGTGCTGGACTATCTGTCTAAAAGTGCTTTCATAGCTCAACACAATATGCAGAATTGTCCAACCAATTTTGGGGTGGTGTAAATGTCTCTTGAAATAGCACAGAATTGATGAGAAGGCATATTACTTTTTAAAATAACTTGTGCTTCAGCCAAAAAAACCGAAAGGGAAATGCGTGTGTGTGTGCGTGTGTGTGTATAAGGGGTAGAATATAGCCTGAAACTGAGTGATAGAAGTGATAATATCACGTTGATTGAAATCAGATTTTCTGCAACAAACCGAGGCGGACTCTTGAAGGTAGTAGGAGAAATTGATCACTGACGCTTAACAAGCCAAGTTTCCAGCTCAACTCACTTTGACAAGCTGTGTGTCAAAATGAAGCATACGGGGCAGAATACTGATATGTTTCTGCTTAAAAATATTTACAAATACCTGCCATTAAATAAATTGATTACATCTGCTTTTAATGAAATCAATTAAGTACAAGTTTATCGGTTTGTATCTCCTTAGTATCACTTGGTACATTTGTGAAATAAAAGTATGTTAATATAATACCATGCTCCGTAGTTTATAATATAGACAAAAAGTGACACTGTAGGAATTGAGGGAAGCCATCCTGCACTGTGTGGCATCGAGGAGGCCTGGCCAGTTGCCAGAGCTCTGCGCCGTGGAGCTGCCTCCTTCCCGTCTTAATCCTTGGCAAACTGTGCCAAGACGCAGTGGGGTCCTTACAATCCGTCCTCTCCTCCGCAGGGATCCCCCATGATGCTGAAGCTGTAGCCTGTGGCTTGATGATGTCACTCTTCCCACACATTTATCATCTCCGTTTTTCTCAATGGCTCCCTGTCACCGATAGTCTCTGCTTAGTGTTAGATTAATGCTTTCTTAATGGAGAGCAGTTATTAATCATAATGGAAACACGCTCAATCTCCATCTCCAACTAAGGACAGAGATTAGAGATGAAAATCTGCCAGGGAGAAGGAGAAAAGCCAAGGGAAACCGCACATTGCTCTTCAAGTATTTCATTCCACCCTTTATTTGATTATCAAATAAAAATGTGATTATATCACTGGGCCACAGAACAGAGGCCCTTCTGGATCTTATTAAGACTTGCTATTAGTGGCCTTACCATGAAGATTTACAATAAGGGTGGAGAACAACAGAAATTTATGGAGGTATGGAGGTCTGCAAGACTAAGTGAGCAAAACCATTAAGGAGGGAACCATTCAATACAGAGGTTTGTCATTCTGACTAAGCAGCGCGCAACTGGCATGCAGCGGGAGCAGCAGCAGCAGTTCTGGGAGCAGTTACAACATGACAAGCGGAGGTCACTGAAGTGTGTTTTCACAGTTGTGCGCTATGGCAAAGGGGAATGTTGCAAGAGCATAAAAATACAGCACCTGCGATTCTGCACTGCAAACACAATGCACAGTTTTACACTTCTCCTGGGACTGGCTGTGTGTTCTTAATGAGCCTGTCATTCAAAGAGATTCCTTCGGTTCATTGTCTCAGCGAGCACACATTTTCCCTGCTGAAGTGTTCCTGAGCAAAGCATAACATTTGACCTCACTGTGGCCTCTGTGTAAGAGGCAAAGAATTATGCTTTTGAAACTTTGTTGTTTCAAAAGGGCGTTTGAGAATCTCATTGTGGTCACATAATACTGTCATGTTGTCATTCCTTTGATGACAGAGTCCAATATTGTACTGACTGTGTGAGCTTTAATACCACAGGTAGGCAGTACAACATATAACTGTATTTTGTTAAACAGCACAATCCTTCAGTTATTTTTCCATTTTCCAATGATATTGTAATGTTCTTCTTTTTTTCAATATTCAATCTTTATTTTTTATATACTAGCTCCCTGCAAAATCAATTTAAATTCTACAGTTTTGTAAAACACCTGAAAAGTAGCTCCAAATCAGCTCAGACACAAATATGAACCAGAGTTACGCTTTTTGAAACTTAAATTTTTTTTTTTTTTTTTTACTTCCACCAGGCATCCAGCTTCCTCTGGGGTCTTTGGGCCATCCTGCAATCACGTTTCTCCTCGATTGACTTTGACTTCCAAAGGTTTGTCCAACGTCTGACAAAGACATTTAAAACTCCCACAACTCAAAGTGTCACTCTGCATAAACAATGCTCAAGTTTCCTAAAATGTCCTGGGTGAGATGTCCCATCCATCAAAAAAATGTTGAGTTCATTAGTATTTAAATTGATGTTCTAATTATGTTAAGTGACACCTTCACATTAAAACGCTCTCAGTAAATGTTTAATAAAGGAACCCATGTAACCGCAAATAAGAATTATTACTTCACTGCAGTTTTTTTTCAGCTGTTAATGTCATCATCCATCACTTGAAATACTCTGAAAAAGAAAAATATTTATAGGACATTGAATTTAGGCTCTCGGTATATTAGTGCAATGTTTAGACAAGCAGGATCTTCATTAGAAAAGAATGACAAAGAATTTGTTGGCAGACAAACTGCGAAAAAAAAAATGGTTTAGAAACATAAGCCTAGAATATAGAAATATTTCATTCTCCCCCCAATGCTTCAAGTCTTTGTGTATTTAAAATCTGGCATAAAAAACAGGCGAGACAAACACACTTCTTCTACTCTTCATGTCACAGACAAAATATTTACACATGAAATTCTCTGCTTTTCTTCACTGATAAACCGCAACATAAGATGAAAGCCTCGGTTTTCACAAAGACTTTCAAAGGAGATCAAAACTAACGTCTTTTATTTTTAACAGTGATCACCATTGAGGACTAGTTATCTTAAACAAGTCCAGGAGACATTCCTCACCGGCAGCAGCACTCAGACAGTTCAGGAAGGCAAAATGTTTCCCTCAACCCCCACTTTTTTTCTGCCTTTCTCCTTTTTCTGCATGCCCCACACCCACAACAGTTGTGATCATGATCCTAATCACTATTGACACACGGCACCCTCCCCTCTGTGTGGCTTTTTCTACTCGCTTGCAAGATCAGCGACAGGGCCCCCACCTCATTTCAATCTGGACCTTGGAGGAAATGTGATCCAGAGGGGTGCTGAGGCACAGAGGCACTATTGTTCCAGTGCCGTCGTTCCTGCCTTACATATACATCTCTCATCCCTGGCTGGGCCACATGTGCCTGCTGAACGTCTACTCCTTTAAGCTACCGGCTGAGGTTGTCCTAAAGTGGATGGTGAGGGTTGGGTTACCTTTCTTTAACTGGAGGGTTAAACTGAAACGAGCTCTGAGAGCAACAACAACAATGGAGAACCAAGTCTAATGTTTAAAAGCGGGAGGCTACTATCTAGCTAACCTCTGCCCCACGCCCATCCCTGTCATGCAAGACACATTCATGCACTTAAGCCTCCCTTTCAGGCAAGAGATACATAACATCGCTGGCTTCATCGATCTGTTAAAGTGACAACATTATTACATTCAGACATAGGTAACCTTTGGCTTAGTGCAGACATACATACAACAGGCAACATCAGTAATTGTGCAATTTTTGTACAATACATGCAAATGAGTTTTGCTCTTCAAGAAGAAAAAAATAAGAAACTATTTAAACCTTGAGTTGTTGCATGGGTGTGCATACTTGTCTGTGTTGTGTGTGTGTGTGTAATTTCTCCCACTGCTATCCCCCTGAGCCAAATCACCAATAACTTCCCAACGAGTGACAGGCGTCACCCAGGCCTTGTGCTCTAACCAGAGCCAGATGTAAATGTGACAATAGGGAGCCACAAGGGGAACGCAAACCCGCCCTCCTTTTACCATCCATATTTACTTTTCTTATATGGTTTTTTTCATGTGTTGAAAGTGTCTGCAAGTCAGCAGTCTAGATTTGTGGACGTGCTGGCAAGGCGAGCTGTTATTTGACAAAGACATTATTATAAGGAAATGAACAAGGAGGAGGCCCACTGTTTGGAATAGCTTGACTACAAAATTGAGGGAATTGTGCACAAAAGCACATTGTGAAATGGAATACCTGCATTGGCAGGAGATCATTTTCCCCTACTCTTGCTAAATATAAAAAAGCCTCCATTCATTTCTGATGAAGATAAACATTAAGTATGCTAGTCTTAGGTGTCACCCTTAATAAAAATAGGGATAAATGGGATTGTCTGTGAAGCTTGCTGTTCTTATAGGAGGGAGGGTGTAATAGGCAATTACATTAATAGAAGAAACTACAGGGTGGGGTTGAGGTGTGTGTGTGTTAAATTAGCTGATAGTGAAGCTATTTTGACTTTTTACATTACTTGGTAGGAATCTATCAAACTCTGTACTAAACTGAAGAATAACACAGATTTTTTATTAAGTTGCTTTTTCTTTACTGGATTTTGTTGGGGAAAAAACAAGAAACTGCTGCCTGGAATTCTTTATTGAGGAATGTTTTGTATAGGAGTGGTAAGCGATTCAATAAGTGAGCAATTAGTGTTTAAGTATTCTGTCAGTCTATATGTCTGAACTCGCCGGATTTTTCAGATTCACACAATTTTCATTTACGCACATGCAGTGGAATGAGTGCATTCAAAGAAGAGCAGTGCATACAGTGGACATAGCAGAGAAAAAAACAAGGCCGACATTGATGGGATTTGTTTCCTAATCCTTTTTACAAAAAACAAGTTCAGGACTGCTTTAGGAAATGAATGGGAATCCCCCCCCCCCAAAAAAAAAAAAGAAAACCTTTCTTATCTCAGCAAGACAATGTCAAACCACATTCAAGAATTACAACAGCATGGCTCTGTAGTAAAGAGGTCTGAGTGCTGTGCAGTTACCTGCTGTTACCCACTGAAAACTTTTTGTGTCATATGAAACATCAAGTACGAATGGGGGAAACATTAGGTTATCGAACCTACATGTCTCGTGGGTTTCCAACGGCTTTGCTAAAAGTAGTGATGAACATGCCTGCGTTACAACTTGAGCATGTTCCAGCATTTGTTTTGCTGGCATCCAAAACATAATCTAGTCATTAACAAACACTGGGCAGCAGGGTTTAGTGGTGCCACCCCACAGGGAGCATGTTAACTGCTAATTCTAAATTAGCTGTATTTCATCATATAATATATGAAAGTCATGTTCTGAGTCAATTCACAATTTATACAGCATCCATATTTGTGTGGAAAGCAACTTGTTCATAGCTGTACAACAGCTCTACTTCCCCACCTCCTGTATACATGCTATTGTAGTAGTCAGCAGAATCTGATTCTAGTGGGTCATTATGAAAATATGAAAATGAAAATGATGAGCAAACACTTTAGTTTTCTGGACCAATAAGGATAAGGGAGGCTTCATTCTGCTGTCTGAGTAAATGAAAGAAGTGTCAGTTATCAACTGTAGCACATGACTTGCTTGAAATTAAGTCTGTCCAGAGAAAACGCCTGTTGAGGCTCGCCAAACCACAGCGAGCGAAGTGAAAATTGTCTGCTGGCCTCCACCAATGATTTCTACTCCCCAAAATTTTATTATGAACTTTTTTCTTTCTTTTTATTTTTTTCATTTTTTTGCAGTGGCAAAGGTTATACACACAGTGTACCACCTATCTCTATCAAACATGTACTGGTAAATCTAAAGGTCAGCCTTCAGCAAAGCAAAAACTAAAAGAAAGGAGAAAATGATGAACAAAAGCAGACAAAAAAAGCCAGGCTTTGACACAAAAATTAGAGTGTAGCTTTACCCAGAGATGCAGGTGGGAAAGAATAACTAAAAGGCATGTGACTAAATTATCGTTTTGTCTCACAACACAAGCGCTTGAAAACTGATTTGGCATTGAGGAGTTCAGTGAAAGCACTGATTAAAGGACAAACTCCTCTCTGTGCCTCCATTTTCTGTGCTTTTGAAACTTCACTTTATTTCAAAGGGTATAGCATAATGGCCAAGGGCAACAGCGTACTCAGACATCAGATTTATTGAGGCGTTCAATAATATGGTTTGAACAAACACAAAACCACTTCTCTTGCCGTTAACTTCTGAGATGCGCTGAAGCTTTGGCACAGCTTTCAGACTCATTACTTCATTTGAGAGTCTTGATGCTATTGTTACGCAAGATTGACAAACAAAAACACAGTACCCACCTATAAAACCAGACAGAAAGAGCAGCCTGTAGCGAACAGTGAAAGATACATTATGGCCACAGATACATACAGAGGAGGGAAGCAACAAAGTACAACTACTTTGTTTTTGGACTTCTGTAGAACTTCTAGGTATGTGTAATTTACCTACTTTTGGGTTTTACTCCCTACAATTTAAGAGAAATACCTCTACTTTATACTCATATATTTTCAAATGATGGAGTAGTCAGGACAAAAGAGAGCTGCAGTGGTCCAGAACAGCATCCTCAATGTAGATGTGATCACTACAGCTTCTAGCTAGACTATAGAAGAGAAATGAGCATAAAGGCAGCATAAAGTGTCAGCTAATTTCAGCTGAGCTGATATCATGCAATTTGTCACAGAGCATGTCTGCTAGCTAAAGGTGCAGCTGCTGTATTTCACTGGGAGAGAAAAGAATGTGAGAAGTTAAGTCAGAGATGGAGAAAGACAAGACTGACAAAGACAGGACAAGAGAGTAGAAGACAGATTTCTATTAAAGCTAAGTCAGTGAAACCTGATAAACTGGAAATTTAAAGCCTACAAATAATGTCCACTTTCATTTTGTGAATAGATATCTGAGCTGTACACGATTTCAAGTGATGTTTTTTCACACTGTAAAACTTTTTACAACACAAATTGTAAAATGTTTGAATTACTGTCTGTTATTCAAAGGTTCAGTGAACATGCTAGGCAGGCCAAACAGGTTAGTTTGCAGTGCTGTGGAGAGGTCTCAAGAGATGGACTAATGCAGTTGGCTGCCATGTTCATGGTCAATGTTAGGTTACATAAGGAGTAGCAGATATCAAAGACAGCTTAGTCTGATGATGCTGACTAGATTCACTCAGCCCAACTAATCCCAGGATCCCCACTCCTGCTGAATCCCACTTTAACCCCTGATTATATTCATTTTTCTGTTTAAATGTAGAGGCAGAACCTGCCATTTACAATGTAGGTAACCACAATTAGAACTTCCTCTTTTCTGTTCTGCATAACAGATGTTTGAGATATTCATCAGAATAAGAATTTACAGCACATTACAGCAGTTACAGCGCTTCACCTGATCCACATTTGTCACATTTTGTTACAGCCTTGTTCCAAAATGGATTAAATTCATTTTTCAACTCAAAATTCTACACACGATAACCCATATTAACAAAGTGAAAAATGTTTACTTGATATTGTTGCATTCAATTAAATGTAAAAACAAAAATATAACATGTGCTTATGTATTTACAACTTTTGCCATGACACACAAAACAGGTACGTATCCTGTTTGCAGCTTGATTTGAGTTTACCTGTGGTAAATTCAGTTGTTTGGACATGATTTGGAAAGGCACACACCTGTATATGTAAGGTCTCAAAGCTGACAGTGCATGTCAGAGTGCAAACCAATTCAGGACAATGATTTCAGCACCGCCCCACCAATCAGGCCTGTATGGCAGAGTGGCCAGGCAGAAGCCACTCCTCAGTAAAAGGAACATGACAGCCTGCATACAGTTTGTTAAAAGGTACCTAACAGATTCTCAGATCATGAAACAAATATTGGACTCTTTGTCCTGAATGCCAACAGGGACACTGTCAGGGTCAAGGGAAAGATAAATATATAGCAATGTACAGACACATCTTTGATGATGACCTGGTCCACAGTGCTCTAGACCTGTGGCAGGGGTGAAAGTTTATCTTCCAACAAGACAATGACCCTAAGCACACTGGCATGATAACAAGTGTGTGACCTCAGGACCACTCGGCAAATGCCCTTGAGTTACCTAGCCAGAGCCCAGACTTGAACCCAGTGCTGAAAAAATATTTAGCAAAGGCTTGTAAATACTGTTTGTATTGTCATGTACTTTTTACTTTTATGTTTGGAGCACATTTCATGAACTGTACTTTTTCAGTTTAGTAAGAAGTTGAATCAGTTATTCAGCTTTTACCAGATAATTCTTTTATAAGAATCTATAATTATATTTAGTATCTAATCGTATTTATTATAATCTGCATTAGAATATTATATTTAATATATCATATATTATATAAATGTAATAATTATATAATAATTATATTACACATTTATATAATTACGTGGAAAATGTCTGTAGTTTTGCCACCTCTGGACATATACAATGCATCTTGAATAATAATTTTAGGTACTAATTTCTATTATTCTCATATAAAGACTGAGACTGAAAAGACATGAATATTTTGACATTACAAGTATGTTTCAAGTGATTAAACAGTTTGCAAGTTGCCAATATGTCAAAGAGGCTTCAACCAAAGAATGTTAATAATATTATAAATATTATATGTTTACTACAGGCAAGTAGGGTCAAATAAAACTCTGTGGTGTTGAATTGAATTGTGGAATTGTAGCCACTCGGACACCTTTTAGATGCTGTTTTTCTGTCAAAGCCAGTGGCTCACAGGTATACACAAGGTTTCCATGATGCCATGATGGCATGATAGGTATTGTCAATAGTACGACGAGTCTTTTCACTCCCAGTTTGTCAATATGAATTCCAAATTGTCCCTGATGTTTCATGGGTGTGTCTGTAATTGGAAAGTACTGTGTGTAATATTAAAGCACTGTACAAATGGGTAAACTTTTTCTTCTCATGTAAACCATTACAAGTGGTGAGACTAGATTTAAATGTATTTTTTGTGAAACACCGCTTCATAAGTTACTTAAGTAAAACGTACAGTTACGGTAAAGAGTGATCTTAAGACAAAATTTGTCATGAGTCATATATGCTTGACTCGTCATATATAGAAACGGACAAGACAGTCTCAGTTATTTGACATACTTGCCTGAGCACATTTGATCTAAGGTTGACACATGCCACCCTTGGGCAATGTGACTTTCCAGCCAACAGATCAATGTACAGCTGTGCAGTCTTTAAGGCCCATTTAGTTTTTGTATAGTGTATAAGATTTCTTTCTGTTATCTAATCATGTGTTTTCTGTCTCCTGCTGTTTGCAGATATGCCACTGCACGACTGAACTTCTATTTTGAGAAAAAAGAGGAATACTTTGGACTGGCAGTGAACTAATTAATCCCTCTACTTTTGCAGAACAATTATGTGTTTCTTGTGTCAAACAGTGCTGTGGACCATATGTCAGATGGTGGAAATGGAAAAGCATAGAATAACCTTATAAAAGTGCTCCCCATAGTTTGTTATTTCAGGCTGTATAGTGTGACTTAATGTGTTTTGCTATCACTGTGATTTTTAAAATATTTGTTTTACCACAGTCAGTATGCCGATAAGCCTATTTGGCAAATTGAGAAGAGGCTCGTGCCAGAAATGAATTAATTGTTCCCACATTCAGCCGAGTCACATAAAGCCACAAAAATTGAGCTTGATCATAAAACACATAAGAGGGTTATTTGCAGGCTTATTCAGTGTGTACCACAGTTCTGGTGGAAAACAAGCTTTCATTTCAACTTATTTACTGTACCAAGGGCATTATTTTAATGTTTCTCTTTCAGAATGACTTGCTATAAAAATATCATGTGTGACTTACAGGGTGTTTGTTAATGTTGCCATAAAAGGAAAATTTAAGAGAAAATCTTATTGAAGCTGTCACTGTGTGAAGACAGGCGAAACTGAATCAGGAGTTACATGGTATGTACATGAACCAAAATGCAATGCTGACTGATATCAGTGCTTTAACAAGTGGATTTTACTTACTCTGTTCATTTAATAAGGTAAAAATGTACTTTAACTCCTAGTAGTGATCTGTTTTTTAAAAATATTCATCAAAATTTAGGCCCACAAGCATTGTATGATCTTGGTGTAATCTCCTTGAATATGTCTCACAGGATGTTAAAAAACAATGTAATGTATAATGGTTTACTAAACAAAAAGCAGATTAAGGGAGCGCACACTAGGGCAAATCTGTAAATAAGCAATTTAAAATTGTTATAGCATAACAGGCACAGCTGTAATTATTGCTTTTTTTGTCATAGAGACTTGTAGGAATAACTAACCATTCACCCTTTTACTTAGATTTAATTGTCATGTGCCATGCATATACATAAACAATGAAATGGTTATAATTGACCAACATCAGGGAATTTGATTGAAATACTTTGCTGTTTGCTTTTCGGCTCAATTCAAATGCACTTATATATCTCCAAATCAGAACAACACTCGCCTCAAGGTGCTTTATGTTGTAAAGTAAAGACCCTACAACAATATATTTGAAAATAAATAAGAGGTGTTAACAGGTACACTAAAGCTACTAGCTGAGGACATATTATTGTAAAAATACGTTCTGTCATGCATTTAAGTGCACTTAAACTGTAATTATGAGGCAGATCGCTCACATTTTTATGCTTCCAAAGTATATAAATAACAGAACATAATGATATAAAGAGACAGAAATGAGCAGTGTGATCCAGATTCAACTTTGTAACTGTAAGAGCTTTTCAAATGAAAGCTTTCTTTATTTCACTGTTTAAAAGAATCTGGTATTGATCAAAAGTGCTACACTGATAGTTCATATAGGTAATGTAATTCAGTGTTGTACCACATGTATATGATCACATGAAATAGAACTTCAATTGTAGTAGAAAACAGAGTAAAGGCCATTAAAACAATAACTCAGGCCAATATCAGGAAGATGCTACCCTTTCTTATGTGCAGCATAAAGCAGCGGATTTGTCCTCACTCCTAAAAATATTGGTTTAGTGAGAATACAGCCTAAGTAGAGCGTGCAAGAACTCGCAAGAACAGAAATAGTTACATGCTAATAAGACAACTTCAGCTCTTTGTAGCCTTCTGCACAGACAGCACGCTAATGCAAAAGTAGCAACAAAAAACCCTAGGATGTTAAAGTCATTCTGTGAAATGAAATAACATACTGATTACTTTTAAGAAAAGTAATTGGTTATGTGTAACACATTACCTTTGTTGAGTAACAACAGCAAAACTGAGTAGAGTGATGTAATTCTGTTGTGAATACTTGTTTAGGCTAAGGCAGGGTGGATGGCAGAGGCTCCATAGCTCATTAGCACAACTGTCTGATTCTTAAAATCAGCAAATACTTTTTCAGTATTTGACCAAAACCACAGTTAATTTTTCTCAAATGTTCACCAAGTGCTTATGGCCTTGTGATATATCTCCCACTGCCACAGTATTTTCACAATTGTCAAAACAGTATTTCCAGAATTGTCAAAACAGTTTCACCACAAACTCCATTTAATGGCTGTTCTGAAGTTTTTGATCCTATCACTGTATCTTCAGTGGATGGAGCAGCTTAGATGTCATGGAATTATCGATTTTTCTAAGCACTTAAAGGCAACTCTAGAGAAGAATGTCTGCATTTGGATGATTCACTAGAACCTCAGACTATTTTGTTTTCTAACATTTGTAATGTCATTGCTCGGATTCTGTAACAGCATCTGCGGAATAACTTGAGGGTAGAGATAGCTTGAAGTTATGGCACATAAAATATCATTAGGGAATAGTTAGGTTTGGGTAAGTCAAGGCTGGTTTTTATGCTTTGGCTCTGTGGTCTTACGTGTTATTTAGTTTCAAGGTACCCAAAAAGTGAGTGACCTGTAAGCAGTGTAGAAACAGATGAAGCTACTGTGATACCTGCTGTATGTATTCTCTCCAGACACAGAAGGTTTGAGAAAGACATCACAATATGATTGATAAAATCGTGAAGCTAAGTGATACCAAACTCCTGTATTAAAGTTGGTCTGTACACCACCCCAGCTTCCACACCCTTGTAATGTGCATTATTACATAAAAAGAAGAGTACATCCTGCAGTATTGAATGATGGCATTGGGCCTAAATGTTATAACGCAACAGGCATTGGCCAGTATACGCATATAAATGCTTGAGATGAAAAGCTTTGCGGCAGAGAACAAAAAAGGTTGAGGGGTCAAAACTCTTGAGACTGAGTGAGAAAATCAAAAGCAGGAGGCAAATATGGAATCTACAATGGAAGAGATTAAAATATGACTATAATAACTGGAAATGTTATGTTAAGTGAGAGATTTTATCCATAAGACTTTTCTTTTCCAATGTTGGTTCCTTGTAGGATAAATGGTTGGTAACTTGTCCTTCAAACAGTTTTGATTGGTAAATGATATGTTTGTGTGTACTCACAATCAAACACATCGGTCTTTACAAAGTACATGTGACATGCTCAGAAATGTCAATGAGTCCTTCCACTCTATAACTGCTTCTACTGTCTTTATCTGTGAAGGGAGCACAAAAGGGAATGTGATTGTAAATGTTAGATTTGTATTGTTGATTGTCATTTATGCTTAGAAATATTTACTTATATATGCTTAGAGTTTTGTAATTAGTTGTAGATTGGTAGAGGTTTTGATCCTTGATAGTCTGCAAACTTTGTGTGTATTAGACAGCACTTTGGGAGCATGAGAGGTCATACCGTGTCTTATTATTTTATGGTAGGATTAACGTAGTTGCATCTGTTCTAGTCTAAGTGCTCTTTGTTTAGATGAACTGCAGGACTTCCTCACCGTGTTATCTAGGATGAACCATCTAGGGTGAGGGGGAGGCTACCCTCTTCCTGACCAAGGATGTTTGACCCTTTGATCAGCAGTCCACACACACACACACACACACACACACACACACACACACACACACAGGCAAGGTACTCTTTGTTTGTATGTAGACGTCGTATGTTAATGAACCTATGCATATTCATGTAACCTCAATAAAAGGGCAGTGTTACAGGAGGACGGACGAGACCAACTGGAGTCAAGCGGTTGTCTGGTTCTCTCCCGTGCACGAGTAACATGAAGAACTTTGCCTATTTGTGTCTTGCTTAGCAGTGTAATTATATTGTCTTAACGTTCCAGCGAATAGGTTTATGCTACAAACCTATCAGTAAAATCAGTAGAAAGGATTATGGCGGGTCAAATGAGGGGAGGACTAGCTACAATGGCGTCCTTTACCTCCTCATGGTCGCGCACAGTTCCACTCATCAAGGCTGCAGCCGTGTCTTTGAGTCAAACAATCCAGCTGCTTTCATGCTGGCATTTTTCGTTAAACATATAATATTTAATTAGCGGACTAATGCACTTAAAAAGACCCAAGGACTTTGGATCAAAAAGAAAAAAATTGGCCTTTTGTCCATTGCCTATTTTCCTGAAAAAGTGCTGTAGATTTTTTCTTTCACTTTTAATTGCATTAAAAAAAAGAAGTATATGCCTTTATGCAATGTTTCAAAGACATAGAAACCAGGAAAAAAAAACCCGTGAAAGCAATTCCTTTCAAAGGGCTTTTTTGTATGATTCTTTTTTATTCACACATTGCATTTAGATTTTTGGTTATTGTTAAAGGACTGACAAGGCTGTTGACCCTTGGAATTCTAATAAGTACCCAGTTTGCAATTGTAATCAACTTACATTAGCAACAATATACTCAAGGGAAGGTTTTACTATAAATTCACTTGTTATACATGTTACATACAATGCACAACGCATGCTTTTTGTTCCTATATTATATAGAGTGCTGTCACTTTCTCAGTTCCATTTCTAAATTCACAAAGTCAAACCTTCTCCTGTTTTTTTTCAAAACACATGAGCCACGTCACCAACTATTCAGTATAGCAAGTTCAAAACTAAAGGCATTTCCATCAACCCCAGCTGTTCATTTTTTCTACCAGTTTGCAAACTGTGTGCTAACAGGCTAACTCGAAAAGCTGTCTCTTAGCGTTTAGAAACCCTCATTATTTAATCAATTAGGTTGCAGCTCCCTTGTTCACAAAAAGTTATATTTTAAAGAGTAATGTGAGAAAAGTATAAAAATCTTATTGCTCCTTCATCTATGACTTCCACTTTCCCAGTTAGTTTATCAGCTCAGTTGCTCATTTGAAGTGTTGTTAAATACCGCCTTATGTCCATTTGTATATTAGGGCCCCAATTAGGATCCAAAAGAAGTATAACACAGGGCATTGGGTTTGATGAGTAACTACCTCAGTTTCTCAGTGAAGAACCATAGCTGACCATGATAAGCTTCAAAAAGAGATAATCTCATGAAGGGTATGACCATCTTCTTTATACAGTCTGTGATTTTCCATCAAGACCTACAAGACAGCAGACGTCTGAAAAAGTGTGGAATTTGTGTGTTTTGTGCATGTGGAAATAATTTAAATGTAACAGTAAAGTGCAAGCATATATAGACTATAAACTTAGGGGAGGAAGCCGTGTTTCTGCCCCAAATACCCAGAAATATTTAACTTTATTAAGAGATTTAAAAAATATATATTTTAAACTGTTTTTGTTTTGTATTGTTTTTCAGTTGGGAAAATAAAACCTCTGGTGTATGTAAAAGCAAAGGCTTGTTTTAGATATCATATTCACGTGACCATACAACTAACTACACCACTGCGCTGCATTAGGTGGCGGAAATGCAAGAGATCAAAAGCCAGGCAATATCACAAAAACAGTGAGCATGGAGAAGATTCAAGCTGTGCTCTTGTTGATTGTAATTTTTTTTATGCTATTCTTGAGTTATTTAAAGCTTCTTAAATCTAAACACTTCAACAGAATTTTACAAGCTACAGCAGAGAAATAACATGAGAGAGATAAAATACTCGACTCGGAAATGTTCATGGCTGCAAACCAAACCCAAGTGCACCTGAACTTTCAGAGAAAACAACTTTCCCCCTGACAAGGAATTTTTCTTGGGGGGCGTCCTCTTTTTGCCAAAAAGTGCAGTGGAAATATACCGAGTTGCTACAAATACTTGTAGTCCATGAGGAAAGTTTTTGCAGGGAAAACGCTGCTGCCTAATTTCACAATGTAGTTAAAAGAACAGTTAGGAAAAAACAACCTCTAAATCATACGTAGACTTCTAGACGACTTTTTACCTGATACATCACACAAGTGGCACCCGTTGTGAAACATGATCAACTCGACAGGAGTGAAAGGGTCAATTAGTCTCCTTTAAATCAAAAGCATTTCAATGATTAAGCATCATGAGCTCAAAGAGGATGTAGTGTGCTGCAGCACCGTGACCATTCTGTGTGCTTTAATGAGTAGTGGAGCCTCAATGATCATAAACGGGCTGGCTTTGATGCCTCATTGAAAGAGCCTCTCCAACACGTCTGAAGGGGGCTCCTCCTTTGTAATAACAATTTATAATTCTCTTGATCTAAATGCCCAATTGGTGGGGAGAGGGGAAAAAGAAAGGATGTGGTTCTTTCTAGTCTTCAAGACGGTTTTTAAAAATCAAAAAGTGAATTTGCCTAGAGGGCCCAACCAAGACCAGGTTTCCATGAAGAAAGCATCTCAATATGTCTCATCATCCCCCACACACGAAACCTATGAGAAAAGAAAGGTAAATTCAAAGTCTATAATCACACACTTTAAGTTTACTAATAAGTACATTTCTGCCTTATATGAAAGAAACGGTTGCCAACGTTATTAGCCAAGGTGTAGAGCTTTACTGCAAAACATTTAGTTTTCTTTTGGTGTGTGGCTGTCAAGTCATTTTAGTTATGTCCATGAAGTTCTTTGATTGATATAGTACAACTGATCCTGTTATGGAGGACACAGTTTGTGCAAATGACCATAAAATATATCACTGCAACCCACTGTTGCTAGTTGTGCATTTAGCTACCAGTAGCTACAACAACTGGGAAAAGTTAATGGAAACAGAGGATTACATCATTTTCCTTCAGGGATGAAATGTTAAGGGATAAATAAGTTTGTATACATTACTGCAGGAATGTACTTGAAATTATAACTGTGCTGTAACAAGCTACACTAACCTTTGTTGAGGTGCTGAAAGCTTCGCTTATGCTCACACCAACTGTGCACATACGCCCAAAAAAAAACCCTGTCAACTTGAAAACAACTAAATGTTCATCTTGAAGAAAGGAAAAAGGAAATGTAAGTTATGATGACTCGTTTAAAAAGCTTAGCATGGCAACAGTGCAAGTATGATTTCAAACACCCCTCCCAACTAAACGCTATAGCATAGCACACACACACATGCTCACAAAGGAGTGTGTGACAAACTTGCCGGCGCCCCTTGCTGGGTGACGCTACAGTTGATTTGGGAATTACAATTAGATTTATGATGTGGCTGCATATGGCTAAGCTCTCTGTTTCTCTCTCTGAAATGCTGGGATTGGCTGCAGCGAGCACCGGCGCCGTGCCGTATACACCACAGCACAGTCAGAATGTGTGGCGTTACCTCACACACGCACGCACGCACAATGGAACAATAGGCCACATTTACCGTAATGGGCCACCAAAATATAAAGAGCGAGTGGAATAGCTCAACTTTGGAAACAGACAGCCTTGTGTTGGAAATTATTAGATCCCTGGAAAGTAAGGGTACTATTTAGAGCAATGGAAATAAAAATTCATGCAGCACTACCTGTAAAGTTGTGCGCATCGCTTTCATACACAGAACACAATATGTTGGTGGGGGGTTTTCTGCAAATGAACAATTTTACAAAGCATTCAAAAATATTTTTCCCACCCAAAATTAAATACATGAAAAAAATAAAAGCAAAAATCTCAAGTCTTTACTTTTTTTTATTTATATATATTTTTTGATTGTCTTTCTCACCAAGTTGTACTGACACTTTTTAGAGCCAAAGCTGGCTAATAAATACAATGAAATGTTAAAATGCACAATTGGATTTCAAATACAATACTCATCACAAAAAAAAAATGTGTGTGACCAGGAAATGCTATGTTCTTCCTCTGCGGGTCACAACTGACGA